GGCTTTGTACCGTCTTTTTAGAATGTTGTTTTTACTAAACAGAATAGAATGTTGACTCTATTGTTTCCAGTAGGAATGAGGAAGTAGGCCAGAAATAAGCATGCAGCTGAAAGTATTTAGTGGATGAATATCATTAGTCTTGTGATTTTCATTATAAATAGCTAATTTTGCCACTTATTGTAATGAGGCAAAAAACCTTTGTGTGTTTTGTTATAATCTGACATGCATTTTTTTCCCCAGACGGTTTTTGAAAAAAATAAGCCACAACAAACACATAACACAACATCAACACAGATGACTAAAGTTGGCCTGTATGTGTCAAACATGACTGACAAACTAATAACTCCTGGAAAGTATCTTACAGCGGAAGAATACCATAAACGTAGACTTGAAGCAGTAAGTTCTCATCTGTTTGCAACTATATCTGTAAGAATATTTAATGAGAGTTAGAGTGTTCAAAGAGTGCATTTAACAGTGAACTGCAAAATGTCTGCTTAATCTTCACATTTTGTAGTCTTTCAGATATTGGGGAAATGTATCTGCTCGTTTACAATATGAATGTTTTTAATGACACTTGAGACCTTGTGGTTTCTTAATATTGTGATTTTACTGGTTTCTTACAGTGACAATTAAGCTTCCATATAGAGTGGATGTATAGAAAGAGATTAAAATAGGCTTATCCCTATGGCATTCTCATGATCTCTGCAGAAAGACTAGATATAAAGAAGAAATATTTTTATAGTACAAGTGGAGGAACACTGGAATGGGTTGCCCAAAGAGGTGGTAAATGCCTCATCCCTGGAAACACTCAAGGTCAGGTTGGACAGTGCGCTGAGCAACCTGATCTGGATGAGGATGTCCCTGCTCACTGCAGGGCAGTCAGACTAGATGACTTTTAAAGGATCCTTCCAACCCAAACCATTCTGTGATTCTATAGGCTTAACATATGGCCTCTTAATGGGTAAAGTACTGCATTAGAATTTAGGAGACCTGCATTCAGCTTATGCATTTTGTAGGTTTTGGGTTTGTTTGTTTTAACAGCCCTAACAGGTTACCTTTGGCATATTCTTCTGTTGTGGATTGTGTTCAAGCTCCTGCTTTGACGTTAAGGTAGAACCTTGCTGTTCAAACACAAGCAATGAGCCTGTGGAGTTTTTTTTGGTGTACTGAGTCACACTGTGCAGGCTCTCCTGATTACAGATTCCGTGTCGTCTTTGTGCATAGGATGTCATTTAAGTGTTCTCAATTGCTTTTTGAAAACTATGTATTTGCTGTCTACAAACACAACTTAAGTACACCCAGCATCATGTTAGGTGATGCACTGCTTTGTAAATGGTCTGGTTATAAATTTGATTGCTTAAAATAGACAGTCAGAATTTACATAAATGGAGATCTAGTTGGTTCCCCATGTGTCCAAGTAGGAAAGTTGTATTGATGTGCTTGGCAAAATGCTTTGAAATCTTCTGGGTAGAAGTTTTCTGTAAGAACTTCTTACTCGGTCAGCAACAGCTGATAGCACTAAGTATCCTGTAAGAATGGAATTCAAATAGGTAACTGTTTCCTCAGGAGTTCCAGGATGTTTTATTCTGATCATTGCTGCCACTTCTGAAACCCATCATGTATCTGTAGGTAATCTGTAATGCACAGTAGAGAGACATCAGCTTGGTGGTGGCTCAGGTTGATGGCTTTGCAGAGTGCTGTGTGGTTCCCTACTGAAATACTAGCTGAAGACATATTCAAGAGAAATGTTAGGTTAAGATAGCTCTAGAGACAGCGTAACTGTTTTAGTGTGATTTTTTACTTGGTAGTCTTCAGTGCTGAGCAATGCTTATTAGCTCATGGTGTTGACCTGGCTGAAGTGCTTGTGGTGCAAGGGCCAGCTCAGCTGGCAGCAGCTCAGCCTTGTTGTACATTGTGCTCCCTTTGTTTAGTATAGACCTTTCCCTAGTCTTTAATGGCCACAGCTTTGGAAGTTGGGTTTTTAAACCTTTTCCAAGCTCTGTCGTAACAGCATGGGTAATTTCACTTTCATTATTTGTTTATAAATAAAGTACACTTGATTTTGTGTGTATATGTGTTGATTTTTCTATTTAGAAATGTTGCAGATCCCTGTCTAAATTCCCAATCTAGACTCTGTAAATGGATAGTAAAATGAGGATGTCTGCCCATGAATCTGAAGAGAAAGCTATATATACAATATATGGCAAAATACATTTTTTAGGGAGAGATTTGAAAAACAAAAATAGATTTTTTAATTGGAGTTACACTTTAACTTGATTATTTGAACCTAGTTTCTCCACTGTATTCACTCATCAAAATCCTGCAGTTATCTAAATAACTAAGCATACCAGTGTTCAGACTAATAGTACTTGGCTGGTTTTGTAACATTTAAATTCGTTTAAGTAGAAGACAGATCTTAGAAAATAAAATTAAGTAACTAGAACAAATAACAGGAAAAAATATTGTGCTGTGTTAATGTCATGATTCTCTGGTATTGTACCACATACAGGTGATAGTGTTACAGACCTATTTCCGTCGTTGGCATGCTAAAAATGTCGTACAAAACCTGAGGGAAGAAAAGAGGTTAAGGCTGGCGTGGGAGGCACAAGAAGAGCTACGAAGGAAAAAAGAGAAAGAAGAAAAACTGAGAAGGGAGCACGAACGAAGACTGAACCCTAAAACAAAAGAAGACTTTGAGCTACTGTTCCAGGCTTTAGAATGTAAGTTTTTCTTAAAGGGTACTCTTAAATCAGCAAAAGAGAACAGTTTGTTTTAAAACAAACTTGACTGTTTTTGACATGTTTCTATAGATACTTCCTTGATTTTTTTTTTTTTACTTAAAGTGTAATTTCTTCTAGCTTTAAAGGGTTATTTGACTTCCTGATTTTTCTGGAAGCAGAAAAGACCTTCACACTTTGTAAGCAACTGCTTAGCAAAAACGAAAAGATTCCTATGCTTCCTATAAAATCAATACCGTTTATATCACAAAACCAAAACATAGACCCATACAAGCTACTATGAAGAAAATTAACTTTATCCTGGCCAAAACCAACACACCTTTTTAGGAACTAATCAGCTTGTAGAATAATGCTGCTTGGCAAATTTTATTATTTTTTTTCCCCTAGTGTTAGGGTCAAGTAGAAGAACAGGAGCTTGTTTCTTTGATAAGAGTTACTTTAAACTTTTTTACTCTGCATTTAGGATGCTGAAAATAATACCATGAAGAAATTACTATTGAGAGCCATCATTTGTCATTTACAATAGTTTTTATAATGGGTTAAATTTTTGCCTAGATTTTACAATGTATAACTGAGGTTATTCCTTTTGTCCTAGACTTTTACTCCTGTTTTTTCTCCTTTCTAATTTAATCCATGTTTCACAAAACTCTGTGGCCAAAGTTTTAAAAATCTGTTAGGAGTTCTTATAGGACATCCCGAAAGATTTGCTTTTGCTGTTGGAGTGGATGATGCCTAATATAGGTAAGCACCTCTAAACTTTCCTGGAAAAATAACATGAATACTAATTGACATAACTTACAGGAGAATAATATTACTGATGTAACAAAACCCCTAGGTTATGTCCTTTTGGAATAACAAACAAAAAAAAGACAGCTGTGAACTCGTACCAGCCTGTAATGAATCTGATTCAGGAATTCTCAAGTTATACACCAATCTTTTAATGCTGTCATACTACGTGTGGCATTGAAAAGATCACTTTAAATGTATAAGTGACTTCTAAATTTTACTGGTTTTGACAAATGTACAAATTATTACTTGTCTTAAACATTAGAATTTTGGGCATGGTATCTTCCTGAGATTTGTGGTTTGTTGGGGGTTGTTTCCCCCACCAGCCTTTTTCTTCATAGACAGTTAGCTTTTCACTTCACAAGAATCAAGCCCTTTCAAAGTTGTGTCTGACTAGGTAATCAAAAGCCAAGGAACTCAGTAATATTTTTCCTCTCCACATATGGTAAGTGCTACTATGTGCTGTCTGATTTTTTGCAATATTTTCTTTAAAAAACTGTTTCTTAACTAATGTGCTTTCAAGTGTATGATCCACTTTTTTTTTTTTTTTTATGTATGAGTCATTTGGAATAGAAACAACAAAGCTGAGTTAAGTTTAGATTTAAAATTTATGGGTTTTGTAAGTGTCTCTTTGGTTTAATTTAATGTCATTCACATGTCATTTATCACCATTCACAATCAAAAGTTTCAGCTTTGCACGTTGAGGAATTTAATACGTAGACAACCTGAAAAAGCAGGTTCTGCTTCAGAACTGGAACAAAACAAACTCCAGTATTTCAAAGGTGTTTTTAACGTTTTGTTAAAAGTAATAGTCTAGTATCAGTCTTTTGGGTTTGTTTCTGTTTACCGTTGTTGACTAGTTGCTTCTCTACATGGAGACTTGCAGTCATGCTCCTTATTTGAATAGAGCTTAGTGGTTCTAGGAAGTTTTTTTTTTTTTTACCTGCATCTGAAACTGGTTTTACATTCTTAGAGTGTCAACAGTCTACACCAGCTAAATCATTGTGACAGTTATAGAAAGAGGCTATTGTCCTCTAGAGATCTGTGAAGGTTATTGCTGCTGATCACAACTGGGATACTATTACAGGGTTAGCCAGTACAGGCAATCGGTTTTGGTACAAAGCCCCGCCTGTTGACTGTGCAAATGAGATGTATCTGTATATTCAATGTGTCTGCATATAGAGACATTGATTATTTATTTGAAAAGCATGAACTACTTTGTTTCATAAAGCTGGAATAAAAATTACGTGTTTATTAGCTCTGCCTTTGAAGTTACTGCCCCCTTCAGGAATATGAAGCTTCATGTAAATTAATTCTATACAGTGCTTCTATTTGCTGAAATAGCTTTATTTTAAAATCTATATTTGAGTACTCAGTGCTTGTCAAACAACTGTCATATTAATCCCAAAACTTGGAGAGCCTTAAGGAAATGAATTGAAATATTGTTAAAAGGAAAACATAAGGTATTGTAGATAAGGAAGCCACAGGCAGTAAATAAACCTTCCTCCTTTCCCTCCTCCTGCTTCTAATCTTACCTGATACATGTTTTTTCAGTAAGTATGCATCACTTAATGGATTGTTTTCTTTATTTTGGGTTTTGTTTTTGCTAACTCTTCTGGACTAATAATAACACTTTGTGATATTCAGGAATGTTGAAGTAAGTGTTGGATCTTATAAAATACCCCAGAAAACTCCTGATGTGTTTAAAGTGTAATGGACTTTTCAGAAAAACCAAGAATTGTTACAATGTATGCAAAGGAAAACACTACTCAGCAAACACAATTTGATTTTTCTAACAGGTTTCTGCAAGAGCATGTGATCTGTGTATCAGCACTCATAGTCAAAAAACAGTTACCACAAAATAAACTGTGATAGACCATCTCTGTACATCTGTATGTTTCTGTTGTCATAACTGCAGCAGGCACCTGCGGTTTGCTGATTTGACCCCTGGAGTCAGAAGACCAGATTCTTATACAGTGTGTACTGATTCACCTGTTCCTGTCAGTGTTACCTTGTAGTTTGCATCCCACTTCCCCTTGAAGGGTTCTGTTGTAGAATAGGAAAAGGAGAATAAAGTAATTGTTGTCTAATTAATAGGGCACGTTCATCTGCCTTAGATGGCAAAAGATGATACTACAATACCACTCAAATATTCAGTGTGAAGCCTGGAGTGCTACGTATGACTGTCAGTCAGGTTTTATCTCTGGTTTGGAGGACTTCAGGCTTCTTTAAGTTTTAGTCATTCGTGCAGGGAGAAGCATGAAGTAATGTTCTCAGCAATGAGTACTAGTGGTAGTGTAGTAAGATGCTGTCCTTAGTCTGTTGAGAGGATCTCCATGGTATCTTTTCTTGTGACTTCAATGAGCAATTGTTTGAACAGTTCCTATTGCTCAGACCTTTTGGAGCTGAGTCTCAAACAGTTATTTTAGATGCAGAATTGTGAAGAAAACACTTAAGTGCATGTTTCCACAGGAACTAAATTCTTTTTCTCACATAGAGCTCCTTTTTCTTCTAGCCCATCTTTGAATTCAGAGTATCAATTGTCAGTTTGGAATTGATGTACACACATACCCTCACAGAAAAGCTGTGTGATTTACATTCATTTCTGGGCCAGTTTGTGTGCATGTGCATAACAGTCAAGTCCCTAACATAGAAACTGGCTTTTAATCAATAAGGAGAAGTGATGATGTTATGTCTTAATTATGAAAGTAGAAATTTCACTGAAAAATATCTTGTAAAAATCTATAATATCTGGAATATTTATGACTGTAGTATGGAGGCAGGAGGAGACTGAACGAATCAACAGAACTCTTACTGGAGCTGAGAGAAAGGCAGCACTTTGTGGACTTCTGGAACAAGAGGCACAGCTGATTGCTTCCATTGGGAGACAAAAACTAAATGCAGATGAGGAGAATCAACAAAAAGCAATACTGCACTTTCTGGATAAGGTCAGTAATGTAATTTTAGGCTGAGATGAAGAATACAAAAGAACAGGAACAGAAAAGACATCTGCAAACTATCTGCCACAGTGGATGCTAATGTTGGGGCTGTTCAGTCTGGAGAAAAGAAGGCTCCGAGGGGACCTTATTGTGGCCTTCCAGTATCTTAGGGGGGCTACAAGAAAGCTGGGGAGGGACTTTTTAGGATCTCAAGTAACAACAGAACTAGGGGGAATGGGGCAAAGCTGGAAATGGGCAGATTCAGGCTGGATGTGAGGAAGAAGTGCTTCCCCATGAGAGTGGTGAGACCCTGGAATGGGTTGCCCAGGGAGGTGGTTGAGGCCCCATCCCTGGGGGTCTTTAAGGCCAGGCTGGATGAGGCTCTGGGCAGCCTGATCTAGTGGGAGGTGTCCCTGCTCATGGCAGAGGGGTTGGAACTGGGGGATCCTTCCAAACCTGACAGATTCTGATCTGTTTTAGCAGAGGACTTAGCAGTGTTGGCTTAATGATTGGACTTGATGATCTTGGAGGTTTCTTCCAACCTGAAGGATTCTATGATTCTATGTCAATACAGTTCAGTTTCCAAGCTGAAGATTTCTTTGCTCTGTGACTGAACGAGTACATCTTTTAAGATAGTTAACTACCTGTCTCTGTGGTAAATCTCAGGTGTGTACATATAATATACAGGTGCTTTTTTTCTGCTTTCATGCATTGACAGCAGAGTGCAGTTATACTAGTCTTGCTCTCTGAAATAATACAGGTAACAGGATTATTGTAAATTCCACAGCACTGCCAGCAGAATAAAAGGCAAGAAAAATTTGGCAAAAAAAATCTGAAAAGTTTTCATTTTCTTGTATCAATCTTGAATACGTGAAAATAGGCCTGAAATAAAGCTTGTGATTCTTTCAGAAATACTGGCAATGTTCAAATTGATGAGACCTCTGTATTTTATTTTTTTTTTTTCAGTAAAAAGCTACATAATTTCTTTTTTCTTATTTTATTTTATATAATACCCAGTTGTGATGAAGTAGTGAGAAAAACTACAGAAGTTACAGACATGATATCTTGCTTTGAATAGTTTAGATGTTATCATCATCTAGTTGGTCTGTAAGGGTCATTTGCTGAATGGAATACCAGGACTGCTAACTCATATATGAATTGTTGCAATTTATCAGAAGACCCTTGTTTTAATAATAATAATTTTCTAGGATAAACTCTGCCCATTGACTCTCTCTAGCATAAGCAAATGACATTTCTGTCTTAGAAGTGATTTCATTGAAGAGGATCAAATGTGGGTACTGAATTAATTACTCTTTGAGAAAAAAATTTTGCCAGTCTACCATACAAAGGAATTACAGCATGATATATCTTCAGACTTGGTGTTGATTTGTTTTTTTCTTTTTAATTTGCTTGGGGTTTGGGGTGGTTCTTTTTGGTTTTGGTTTTTTTTTCGGAATTTCTAGTACTGCACAATGATAGTGACACAAAATTATGAAATCACAGTAGAATGCTCCTTTTTTATGAAAGAGAGAAAATCACTTCTTTCTAGTTTTGCAGAAGTTCAAAGATTTCACTAAAGAATTATGAGTTTTACTTTTTACTAATGTCTGGTTTTACTGTTAGGTTTCTTAATCAGTTTTGGCTCTGAACTGTGACCCATGGTTAACAATATCTCCTTTAATTAGAGTTCCACCACCACTGATAATGTAATTAAATGTCAGTTATTCAGTATTAAATCCTTTTTTTTCCCAATTATTTTGTCTTTCTTTTGCCTACCTAACTTTATAATGTACTTATTTAAAAGTAAGGAAAGCTCTGTTTTGATTGTGTTGGTGCCTAATTATATTTGTTTTAAGTATCTAATATTCTTGGTATTTTTATGACTTATCACCATAGCAAGCTTGTATATTTGGTCAAAATAATGATTACATCAGTGCTGGTTATGCCAGTATCCAGAAAACTACTGGGCATGTGAATGCTTCATGAAGTGCTGCTGTAGTTAACTCACACTGAGACTGCAAAATGAAGTTCACAAGCACTTGTGAACACTCTAGTTCCAAATACAGTAAAGGAGAACCATGAATAGACAGAATGAAGTTCTAAATACCTGACCCAATTAAGGAAAGGGAGTGGAGTTAGATAATGATGGAGACAGAGTTTTGAATACTGTCTTTCTATTTGATTTAGATACTTGCCCCCATAGGTGACAGTGTGGTTTGCAAAACAAGTCTCCTGAAAGAGGATAATGGTTAGACTTCTCAAACTGAACGAGGCAGCTGGCATTGTTTAACTTCTCACTAATGTGCAGAGGCAATGAAACTAGTAGGTGTACTGTATGCAGTGAAGTTAGCAAATGAGAAGCTAGGTGAAGTATCCAATAAGCTGTAAACTTGTACTTTGCCTCAGTCAGCCTTAACAAAGTCTGTGCCTTCTATCCACCTGTATAGCTTGCATAAATGGCACAATTCCCTGGAGATACTTTGTACTGCAGTAGACTTCGAGGCCTTAAATTTGCAAGCTTTACACAGTCAGCAGTGCCATTGATTTTTACTGATAGTTTAGAGGGATTTACAACTGCAAGATGAAATAGAGAGCAAATGCATTCGAACACTACTGTCAGTAAATTTGCTTCAAAGAAATAGAGCATATCCCTGTAGGAGAATATTATTTACTTTTAATATACTGTAAGACAAAATATTCATGACGTGCGACTTTTTTTTTGTCATTTTCTTTCGTTTTCTTCCTGCTTTTTACTTTTTTTTTCCCTTTGTACTTTTTTTTTCCTTACTTTGTAAACAAAGTACAATTGGATATTTGCTTTGGTGGGAAAAATACTGTATAAATGTAGTCACTAGAATTAGCCATTTGTATTAGCTGAGCATTAGTGTTAAGTCCCTATTTGCTTTCTTGAAACTTGGTGTAACATAATGCACTTGTTCACCTGGTGATCAGATTATAATGGCTCAGAGTTACACAAATTGTTTCTGAAGTGTGCACAGCCCAAGAGATGGAGAGCATACGATGGAAGGATGACTGAAATGGACACGCAGGACACGCTCCGTGCCAGAGAACTGCTTGAAACGTACCGCAGCGTTAGCGGGGGTGGCGTCCCAAAGGCTGAGAGGATTGCTCTGCTCTCGGCGCTCAGGCGTACGCTGGAGGTACGCTTCACTTCTCTGGTTATGTTTAGCTTGAAGCTGTACTTCCCAATCATACAGTCACTTAATTATGTTGACACAACCGATGCTTCTTCTGGCAGACAGGTGCCAGGATGATCAGCTGGCAGCAAAAGAAAACCTCGTGCACCCCTTGGCATGAGAGTGTAATCTGCATTCAAGATACACTCTAGATTCATACGTCGCTTCGTGATGTGCGCATTTTCCTTCAAGTTCTCTTAGGATTCCAACCCCATGGTTTGAGACTTTTTTTGTCTCAAACATAACATGATTTTAGAACAAAGTTTAGCTTAATATTTATAACAACTTGATGAAAAACATGGCAGAGATGTAGGTGGCTATTACTATTTTTTTACTCTTTTTTTTTAATATCTGTTTAAAAACTTATCTCTCTCTTGGCTTGGGTTACCAGTTTTGTGAGTGGCAAATACTGATTTTTTTTTTTCTTTACCCCTTACTCCCCACCCTCTCTGTTGCTGTCAGTGTTCCCAGTGAATAAGAAGCTGGTTTCATTTCTTTTTCATATTTGCTTTATTTATTTATTCATGTTCAAAAATAATAACGTGAGTTTCAAGCTAATTTCGGGATGATGCTGTTGACATCAGACTAGAACAGAATGCTGCTTCCTGGTCTTATTCAAATAAACTAATATCTTGCTGTTTGCTTTGGTACTGCCAGAATTTGATCTCAAAGCAATGTAGCATTGGGAGCACTGCTGGTGTATGAACTCCTCCCCATCTTAAGACCAGTCAATATTGCTGTAGTGAGCAAATTCTAAAATTTCTGTAAATTAGCACTCTGTGGTAGGTGAGAAAACAATAAACTAATACACTCATTCTCATCTTCTCTCTCTCTGGAGAATCTCCTGCTAAGCATTTGAAAAACTGAAATGACTCATTTCCAACCATACTCATAAAGTCCCCCCATGTCTTTTGTGTGTTGGAGGTTTTTGTTTGTTTAGTTTTTTTTTTCATGGGTTGTTTTCTTTCCTCAACCATCTATTGTGTATATACATTACATCTCCTATCACATAGCCAAGGGAAGCTTCTTAGGGAGATAATTCTTGGGGCTTTTAGCAACTGAAAATTTTTCATGCGTTGTGTCACTGCTTTACATTTTTTAATGCCCCTAGGTTTACAGTTCCTCACAGCTTTGGGGTATATGCAGGCTACTTAAAGCAGAATCTGTAAGCATTCTCAGATTTGTGGTTCCTTACATTAGTTTTCCTGGAGGTTGTGTTCCTAAGACAGTAAGAAGTTCTTCTGTGAACATGTTCTTACATAAACATGCAGAGGTATGAGTGATGACTTGCACAGAATCCATAGTTTGCTTTCATATCTGTGTTGGAATTACTTTGCTTGCTTCCTTATTGTTGTGGAGTTTGTTTTCCTTTTTCTTTGTGCTTTCTTTCAGGAGCATGAATGTAAATTAACAAAGGAAATACTGGAATTAATTGACAGGGAAGTTGATCTTATGTCGAGAGAGGTGAAAGATTGCAACTTAGAAGGACTGAGGAAAAGAATTTGTACATTATTTCTTCAATATGTTAAAACTCCAAAGTTTAACCCTGAAGTTGCTAGGCTACTTAAGGTATTATTCCTGCTTTGTAGTCTGACGTAGTGGCCATGGGAAATGAAAAACACTGAAAGTTTTTTTTTATATATTTTGCTGTAGAATTGCTGGAGGAGTTCCTCGAGAAATAAATTGTAGCAAGTACACAGGCTTTACACAAATAATCTTATGTAGTCATATAGGAAGCATGGGGTGTAGACATGTATAAGAATCTGAGAAGTGGCTGGTAGGCCTGAGAGAACCCAGGAATTCTGTGTATGAAATAAAAAATCTGAGAATTATAAGTAGTAGATCATATGGGATAGTAACAGTAAAATGTAATACCAAATGAGGAACTGTTAGAGCAATTATCTTTTTTCACACTGGACAAGGGATAGTGTCCCATGCATCCAGAAAGGAAGAACATTGCCACTGTTAGTGTGATGTCTGACGAGCCTGTACTTAAGCAGGAGCTGTTAGGAGCTTCTGTTGAACAGCCAGTTGCTACTTAGTGAGGAGAAGATTTAGGTGGGAGGTGGGGAAAGTGGTAGGCTGTCACACACAAACAAGTTGTGTGACTGTTTTTATTTTCTGATGACAGATTACAATTAAAAATATGAATGCAATTCACTGTCATATGTTGCTAACTAAAGCAACAACACGTTTTCTGCATCTGTCTGAAGAGGACTCCTCTTTCAGTGGCTGATAGTATCTCAGGAGTAGAGAATCTGTCTGTAAATGTTCGTCGGATTTAGAACCAGCTGACAGTTATTTTACACTAGGCTTATGAACAGCATTACCTAGATGTGCCATAGCAGAGACTGGAGATGGGAAACATTTGTCTTCTGCAGCTGTTGTTTAATTGTGCCTTGAGCTGAAGGCTAAGTTGCACCTATAGTTGTATTTGAATCTTGTAATCATCCCTAGATGATAAAAAAGATGGCAGTTCATCAACAGACAGCCAAAGTGACCAAATCCTCAGGATACTTTCAAAAAATGACAGATGACCACAATGGGTAGCTGGATAATCAGACTACTCAGATTAACCAATTAGAGATTTAGGCCCTTTGCAGAGACCACATTGTTTTCTTTCCAGAACCTATGAAGCAATGTGAGGAGATCATTAGCTAGTTTAGTTTATTATCTTTC